GACTACAGACCCCAGACTACAGACCCAAGACTACAGACCCAAGACTACAGACCCAAGACTACAGACCCAAGACTACAGACCCAAGACTACAGACCCAAGACTACAGACCCAAGACTACAGACCCAAGACTACAGACCATAGACTACAGACCATAGACTACAGACCATAGACGATAGTTTTTCCACCCCACCTAGAGAAAATTGCACCCATGATATGACTAATTAGTAATTTGACAATCCTTTATTCTCATACGATGATACGATGAGCTATTTTAAATTCCCAAGAGCATAAAATCTTGTGCTAAACAACAATAGCTTGATTTCTAAAGGTCTCACTTTTGACTCACGGATGTTACGAAACAACAAATGGCAAAATTCGCACGGTGCCCGGTTTGCAAAAACAACTGCAAACTGCTCTAATTCTTTCTCTCGCTTTCATTTGATCTTATCCGTGAGTCGGCCTCTTCGATTTGACATACCTACAAGATCATCAATAACTGTTAAATATACAACAGTTGAATTAGATCCAAGTATTCGTTTTCAAGATCATTCGTTAAAGAAGGTTGTTCTTGTATTTCAGGGAGCAAAAGGAACGCGAGAGGTTGCAGAAGTTGGAACTAGAACGAGAGAGGAAACAAAAGGAAGAAGAGGAACGGAGGAAAAAAGAAGAAATAAAAAGAAAGAAGGCGGAACAAGAAAGAATTGAAAAAGAAAAGGCTGAGAAAGCCGCGAAAATCAAGGTAAATAAATTGTTCATTTTTGTTGCCAATGCCTGACTGCCTCGAACCCGGGCGCTGAATAATGCCGCATCATGATTTTTCTAATAATATTTATTTTGATACTTTTGTTTGTTTTGATACTTTTGTTTCGATCCGTAAGCCCGGATCTTCATCAGTGCCAATAATATGAAATAAATAAATATTTATTTTTTATATAGGCTGCCCAACAAGCGGCAAAAGGTTAGTACATTGGCTACGTTTTAGATTTCGTATTTCTTGCAAGACCGGATTTGGTGGAAATAGTGGGGGAGGTGGCAAAAATTTTAGGGGAGGTGCAGCGGTCTAGCTCATGACCCCCATGGAAAGTTAGGGCTTAGAACGGGCCAAAGTCAACGACGTGACGTATGCATGTAGTGTACATATGTATCAGTGTATTAATGAATTATGACTGTCAACTCATCCAATTTTGCCCTTCATTACAGTTACTATACAAAGTTTCTTTCGAAACATAAAACATTGCATTAAAAGGGTGCTTGACACAGAAATGAATGGCTATCACTGTTTCAATTTTACAGAAAAAACGTTCTTACGAAGTGTAAACCCTAAGTCAAATTTTCTCTTTGATCTATCATTGAAACTTTCCCAAGGGGAGGAACATGACTTTTCAGGGGAGCTGCACAAATTCTCAGGAGAGGTGCAAAACGATCTCAGTGCGCACCTCCCCTCAAAATCCGACCATGATTTCTTGACTATGGTGGCTTCTGTGGCACAGTCATCAGAGCATGCGCCTTCTCACCTCTGAGTTCGTGGGTTCGATTCTCACAACAGACTCATGTGAAAAGAGTCTGTCAACGCTCTGCCGAAAGTCGTGGGTTTTCTCGGGGTGCTCTGGTTTCCTTCCACAGGGAAAGTTGTCAGGGTGGGTTAGGATGAAAACAGTTAAGAAAATAATATCACAATTGTTGTGCGATAAAACGACTACCTTCACAAACTCCTTGACGTTTGGGATGTACAGTAATTATTAATTCTGTCTTACTTTCTGTAATTTTTAGAAAAAGAGGAGCAGGCGAAGAATAGTAATAAGAATCAGGTATGTGTCTAATTAAAATTGAGCTCCTTGGTATCAACAACACATGGCCCTTACAATATACTGGACCTCGAGGGAGAACAGTTTAGGGCCGATAGGTAGCTCGAAGAATAAGCGGTGGTTTTTTGGCCTCTAGAGAGAACAGCTTAGAGAGATTAGAGATTTTTGATAAAGTTATCCAATTTGTTTTCAATTTCCAGAGCTATTTCTAATTTTTCATTTCATCTTTTTCAAAGAATGTGAAACGTAATCAACCTCAGCGTAACGATCAAACATATCCACGAGAAATTCCGCCGAGGTTTCAACGACGAATGAAACAACAGCAGCAACAACAACAGCAACAGCAACAGCAACAACAACAGACTGTGTTTCCACAACAGCCACCAAACACTTCAAGTTCTACGCCAGTACAGCCACAAGCTAGTGCGCAAACTCCACAAAGTGTACAAACTAAAGCCGTGACGAAACCTGCTCCTACGGGTAAGATGGTTTTCACAATATTATAATCCTCTAAATTCCTTTGCACTGTCATAGAAAGCGGTGTTCTACATCCAGCTAATACATAGAAATGTCATTGTACATTTCACCTCAGCAATAAGATTCGATTTCTGCAATATGCAGTTGGCTGATTATGATCTTACCTCAGTGGCAAGTGAGAAGAATGTCTCTAGTTTGACTCTACGAATACTAACCGAACCGACCTGACGGCGTAGCTCAGTTCGCAGAGCATTGGGCTAGTGTTCCAAAGGTCGTAGATTCGATTCCCTCCCTGGCCAGGCATATTTTTTAAGCTTGCCCGGTGTGGGTATACACTCAGAGTAACATCACAAGCGTCATAATCACCTGAGTACATAGCACCAACACAGAAAAAATCACCTCATTGTCATCTTGCAATTCCACTGGATCAACAAAAGATCAGTAGTTAGTTCAGATTTCTTGCTGTGATTATACTACGTAGACCAATAAGAGATGACCCTTACTTATATAGAGCTATCCAGTATAAATAAAGTTAGTTTAGTTTAGGTTTCCTCCTGTAATAACACTGGATCAATAAGAGATGACCCTTACTCAAGTTACTGGACCTCTTGGAAGAACAGTTTAGAACTGATAGAGCTATCCTCTATAAATAAAGTTAGTTTAGTTTAGGTTTTCTCCTGTAATAACACTGAATCAACAAGAGATGATCCTTACTCGACCTCTAGAAAGAACAATTTAGAACTGATACAGTTATCCAGCATAAATAAAGTTAGTTTAGTGTAGGTTTCCTCCTGTAGTAACACTGAATCAATAAGAGAGAATCCTTACTGGACCTCTAGGGAGAACAGTTTAGAACTGATAGAGCTATCCTGTATAAATAAAGTTAGTTTGGGTTTCCTACTGTAGTAACACTGAGTCAATAAGTGATGAACCCCTTATGGACCTCTAGTTTAGGTTTCCTCCTGTAGGCTGTAGCAACACTGGATCAATAAGAGATGATCCTTACTGGACAGGAAGAAAAGCACATATTTACTTGAATGATGCCTTTTCATTTTAATGTTTTCTGCGTTCCTTCCAGTCGGCAAGAAAAAAGACCCGCAGCGTTGGACCAAAGGTGAGTATACAGGGATAATTGAGGACGTTCAAGATGATTCAGGGTGGTCGAAAGCACCGCCTGCAAAAACCTCAGAGAACTGGGAGGACACCACGGACGATTGGGGTTGTGAGGGGACATCTTGGGATGAAAAACCTACGGGTGATGAGCGGGTAATTGTGGATAAAACTGATCAGGACTCTTGGCCGACCGTTGGTGTAAAGACAAATCATGAAATTTCTGGAAATATCGATGTGGTTTCGGAGAAGGAAAACATGTGTACATTTGGGGATTCTTTAGACGCGGTGATTGATGGGATGGAAGCGGCCGAAGAGGCTGCTGGGACTGGATTATCAAATTCTGGGAAATGGAATCAGGAAAGTTCTGGGAAAGATAATAACAATGGGAGTTCTAGTAATTTGTCACAAGATTTTGATAAAGGCCAGACATGGTCAAAAACTCCGGGCAAGGATGTCAAGGTAACAAAAGGTAATACAGAAAACAGTTCCGAGAGTTTGTCAAACTCTTGGGAGGAATCTGCTTCCGGTTGGAAAGAAGGTACTTCCGGCTGGAACGAAGGTACTTCCGGTGGTTTGAAACAAACTGCTTCCGTTTTGAAACAAACTGCTTCCGTGTTGAAACAAACAGCTCCCGTGTTGAAACAAAATACTTCCGGTTGGCAAGAACAGCCGGAAGTCAGTGACAAGTGGAAGGCTGTTGGAAATCCCGGAAGTGGAAATAAAACTGAGCCCGCGCCGAATGAGGAAACTGGCTGGGGCGAGAATTCTGCAAACAAACGGAACAGCGGTAATAATTGGGGCGGCTCATGGTCTGCGCAGGGACTGAGCTTGACTGGAACGGAGATTTGGGATCAAAGTAGCGCAGACGCAACTGGCGACAAGGGTAGTGACTGGACTTCAGAGGACTCTAGGGGTAATACAGATACAGGATGGGATTCTGCAGGTGGTGGTGATGATAGTGATTGGAACAGCTGGTCCACAGCAGGACCAAAACGAAATAAGGTAAGAGCTACAGTAAAAACTAGGCTGGATGATGACTTTACATCTCTCACTTCGGAGGCTTAAAGGGTATGAGCAACAAAAATTTCTTGCAATAAAAGTTTCTTTTATCTGAAAGAGCTTGTGAAATGGTAATGGACATATATTACAAATCTTTTATATCTTTTTTCGTTATTGAAATATTTCAATGTGTTTGATATGCAAATTATGACGTCACAAGTTGGGTACAAAATTTTAAAACATTCAAATATCAGCTACATTCTGCAAATTGTTTCTAATACTTACTTGGCATTGTGCATATATGACAACTCTTCATGACACTAACGTGGCGTGTTGAGAAATCAACTGGATTTATCTGATATTTTAATGTTTTAAAATTCTGTACCCAGCTTGTGACGTCATAATTTGCATATCAAACACATTGAAATATCTCAGAAACGAAGAAAGATACGAAAGATTTGTACTGTAATATATGCTCCATTGCCATTTGACGAGTTCTTTCATATATACTCTGGATCTAGTATGGATATACTATGGATTTAGGCCCCAGTTACACGATACCGGATTCGCATCGAAGCGACATCAAATTTTACAGTTTCAAGAGGAGTTTAGCACTCACAATTATAATTTTTTAAAAAGTTCAAATATGAAAAGTTGATTTCACTATTTTTCCAGTGATGATTTGATTTAACTTGGAATTTACCGTAGTCTCGCCAATTATGTCCAAGATGTAGTTTGTCTGAACAGTTTGTATTATGTTGACAATATCTAAGACGTATAAACTGGCGATGCCTTTAAAGCTTTCGTGGATGAAATGTCTCCAGTATAAAGCGGAGCAATTTAGTGATGATTTTCTATCGCTTTTTAGGCCCCCAAATCCAACCAAGGAAATGACGAGAACGCCTGGCTAAGACGTTCTCTCAAACAGCTTGTTGATATGGGTTTTAAGGTAAGCTACTTTAATCGTCATTTGCTGTATATATTTATGATATGCAAATTGCTAAATTGTATATTACACTTAGTTTGAAGTAAACATTGATGTAAACCTGTTTCTGCATCTTGTCTCGAAAAGTTGTTATATCTTTTAGGAGGGTGACGGAGAAAAGGCGTTGAAATCCAACAACATGAGTTTAGAGGCAGCTATAAGTAAGTATTCCTAAACTAAACTAAACTAAACTAAACTAAACTAAACTAAACTAAATGTATTCATACTGGATAAACTGTTCTTCCTAGAGGTCCAGTAAGAATCATCTCTTGTTGATCCAGTGTTACTACAGAAGGAAACCTAAACTAATCTAACTTTATTTATACTGGATAGCTCCATCAGTTCTAAGCTGTTCTTCCTAGACCTAGAGTCCTGTAACGGTTCTCCCGGACTTCTAGGGAGAGCAATTTAGAACTGATAGAGGCGAAATTCGACACGTGCATACTGCAGGAAAGAAACGTCGTTCACGGAGGTGACGTGGGGCTGATCGCTGCACCACAACTCCGTTTAGGTTAAACCACTCTTTTTCCCTTCTAGGTCAATTGCTTGGGGGTCAAGGCACTCCACCTGCGAACCACTCTCCCCTGGGAACTACTTTACCATCGGAACTCAACTCCGAGGCTACTATACAAACAGACGAACAAGATGTCTTAAAATTGAACAGAAAGCAACGACGCCGACTAATGCAACAGAATTTAGACCCTGAAATGCAAAATTCGGAACCGGTTACGGAAACCGCTGGTGTAATGGTAAACATGCCTGTAAGTTCGGCGGCAGTTTCGGAAGCTAATCGGGTGCCGATCTCTTCCGAACGCCCTGTGGAGTATGGAAATGAGTCAAGTCAAAATGAACAACCTGATGCTCATTTAGAAAGGAGGACCTCAAGTGGAAACACAGTAAATGTGACTGCGACCATGCCCGGAAGTGGTTCAGTTGCCGGGAGTGCGCAAGTTTCCGGAAGTGGTAGCACAGCGACTTCCGGTTCGATACCAAACTCCGGCCCCGTCCATGCACCTTTGCCTGCGGCTTATCAGCAACAGTTACTTCAACAGCAACAAGCTCAGCTGCAGCAGTTGCGACTGGCTCAAGCTACTGGACTGATGAGAAGTCCTCTCGCTTCGCAGCCTGTCATACTTCTCAGGCAATTATCTCAACTTAGACTCGTTCAACAGCAGTTGGCTAATCAACAACAAGTGTTGCAGAAACAACCGCAAACAAACACACTACAGGCTCAGCAGGCTAAGCACTTGGCCATGCAGCAACAACATATTGGAGCCATGATGCAACAAATACAGCAACAACTTCTACAACAGCAACAGATACAACAACAACAGAGCCAACAGCAGCAACAAATGGGGTCGAACCAGTTTCCAACGCCCGCGCAACAAACATTACTCCCAGCCCAACCACAGCAATTGCAACAGTTGTTGCTACAGCAACGTAAACAACAACAACAACAACAACAACAAATTCCGCAGGCAAGTAAACAAACTTCACTTCAGCCGCCACAGAGGCCTACAGAACCCGAGACGAATTCCGGACACATGGAAGAAAGTTCTGCTAATGACGTTCAATCTATTTCACCAAGAACAAGTATTGCAAAAGAGCCAACATCTTTAGCACAAGTTGTAAACTCTGCACCGGCTTCTCCTAGTACTGGTAAATCACGCTTGGGACAATGGACACAGAATTCTATACAAACAGAACGGCTCTCTCCCAAAGCGCCTGAAAATGGTGGGAGAGATCGACATTTACGGGCATCACCTCAACCTGACGAGAAACCCAATTCGCTTCTCATAACTAGATCAACAAATTCTCCAAATTCAATTCAAACGACATCTATTTCGGCTCCAATCCACCGCGTTTTGGACCCAGTCTCCAGTAAATGGGGAATAGACGCGGCTCCGAAGCTTTCGGCCGAACCGGCCGAATTCAAACCCGGTGTGCCGTGGCGGCCGTACCAACCGAAGACAAGTACGGACATTCTGCAGTCAGACCCCTCCGTCAGTACAGCTAAGATGGGGTCCCAGGAATGGCCTGGAAACTCGATAGGTAGTCAAACAGTATCGTCAAGTTTCATCCACTCAAATACGAACAGTAAAACTCAGGTAGCCGGAATTAAAACTGTTCCGAATTCTCAAAATTATTCTCAGAATAATTCGTCTGCTATATGGCACACACCGATAACACCGATATCTCGACAGACCAGTGTACCAAGACCTACCCCCCTGACTTCGAACATTAGACCACCCCCCGGACTTGGGGATGAGAATAGCTTCCTAAATCTCCCGGATGTGCATAGCCAATCGGGTAACTCAAATTGGAACGCCCACAGTGAGCCTCAGATGACCAGCGGTTCTCATTTTGGTATTAGGGCACCAGGCTTTCAACCGTGGCCGACTGAACGACGTGACGCGGGATGGCCTGGTACTAGTGGCCAACCGCTGGACACTTTGCCTTCAGTACCTCGCGCGAATGAGCTTCGTAACTTGGCTATGTTGGGAGATTCGAATGGAAATGGTGCGGGCATGCGGGTTAAGCCTGAAATGTCGGGTCAGCAGTCTTTGTATCATGCTTTGTCGACGTGGTTGGTCATTAGGAATATAAATCCGAGGGTAAGTCATCACAGCTATAGAGTCTTATAGACCAATTGCACTGACGCCACAAATCCTTAGAGTGTCCTCCAGATGCTCCCTAACAATATCTGTTCGGGTACAACAACCACATACAGCACAAAAATTAACCATTTTAATACAAAATTATTATAAAGTTTTACAAAATTTATATTGTGCGTAGATTTTGCTAATTTGTCCTCCAGATGCATCGTCACCGGCGCTGTGACGTCATGTGCAATGGGTCTATACTACTACTTGCAATCTAAACTAAACCTCGCAAGTTCTAAACTGTTTTCCCTAGACGTCCAGATACGGACTAATATCAGTGGCGTAGCTAGGCATTTCAACTGGTCATGCTATGCTAATAAACCTGCACTAAAATAGTTTTAAGACAATAGATTTCTACAGGGTGTCTCAAAACAAAAGTATACCCTTTGAAATCAAGCCTTTGTTGGAATTTGAATGCCTTATTACTGTACTTAAACACAATTGAATCGAATTTTATGCATGCATGTACCTTGAGTTATTATTCCTTTGAGCGTATAATTTAACACAATAAAAACTCTTTGCTCTGTGCTCAGTTCAACCATTTTTGCTCGAGCTGACGGTGTGACTGATCAGTAATTTGACCATTTAACATTAGAGGCTATTTTAAATTCCCAGGAGTAGACAATTTTGTACCTAACAAGAATAGAGTTGTTTACCCTGTTTTTGACGTTTCCCTGGCTTCAGCATAATGCTCAGGCCTTCAAATTAGGAAGAGGTTATTTCGCTGGCCTCAAAGTGACAAAACGTAACAAAGCAGCGGTTTTACTAACACTAACCCTATTCCGAACACCAACTCTAACCATAATCCAACCCTAACCTAGCCCTACTCCAAGTTTGTTTTTAAACCAATCCTGAAGAAAAAAATTTTGACGAAATGTCATTCTGAGGTCAGCGAAATAACTTCTTCCTTCAAATTATTACAATAGGACAATTTCAATGGGTACACTTTTTTGAGACACCCTGTATAGGTTTTAATAACACAAATATTTAAAAATTTGCATAGCATGACCAGTTGCTATGGTTTGCTTCGCCGCTGACTAAAGGTTGGTTTACACTATCAAAGTTTCTGTGATCACAGTAGGAATTTTGCATACACTGTAAATTTCAAGTTTTGAAGGATTTGTAAGAAATGTTCGAGGAGACTGACTCAGTGACAAACACCAAGTCAGTTCCAGTAAACATTTCTTGAAAATCCTTCAAAATTTAGAAATCTTAGAATTTACCGAAGCAAAATTCCTATCATGATCACAGAAACTTTGATAGTGCAGCCATAAAGAACATTGGCAATAAAAATAGTTTAGTTCAGTTGAAAAAACTCGTAAAACTATATATTAAACTCTATTACAGATTGTTTATATCTTGCTTAGTTTTCAAAATATTTCGACTGAAAAAAGTGAGCTGTTCGCCATCTTGGATTATTGAGGATATGCATGTTACGTCAAGAGAGGGGTCACGCTAATTTTTTATCTTGAGCGTAAGCTATCAATATGGGTCCAAAACCTTTTTTCTGGTTACTTTTTGAACTTTAGAAATTATTAAAAACATTTCAAACAATTTTGGATTGTTACTCGGTCATTGTAGAGTATAGTTTTATATGGTTAACCCAACTCCAGACGTCATCAAAACCATAGTTAATGAGGTCAAGAATTAGTCCAAGATGGCGGACAGCTCACTTATCTAAATATTTCGAGAACTAAGCAAGATATGACAAATCGGTAATAGAGGAACGAACCAGGTTTCATGGAGCCACTGGGATGCCAGGAAATAGTATTTGGTACAACAATATTTATTTGTAATAATAACCCAAAACACACTGATCCATTGAATAACACCAAACATTTCTATCCCTTCAAGGTTGACTCCACAGTTCTGCGCTCTCTGTGTCAACAACATGGTCCATTACTAACATTTCAGTTAAATCTTCGTTATGGGAATAGTCTAATACGCTATGGAAATAAAGACGAGGCTGCCAAGGCGCATGCCAGTTTGAATGGCTTAGTTCTGGCAGGCTCTCGTTTGACTGCTGATTTTGCTACGGATTCAGACATTGGAAGCTTCTTTGAACAGAATTCTGATTGGTCAGCTCCTCAGTCCACAACTTGGGCAAATGCTCCAACGTCATTGCCTAAGACTGAGCAGAGCACTCCATGGCCCGGATCCAAACCTTTATTCCCACCCGCGAATTTCTCATCGGAGCTTTGGTCCTATAATCAGGCGGGCGGGTTGGCAAGTGGAGTTTGGTCGACCCCGCCAACCAGCCGACGGGACGGCGAGCACTCGACGGCAGTCACCGAGAATGGCATCACAAGCCCATCCATGGTTACGTTTTTGCCCCCAGGCCTTTTGAACAGCGGCGAGTCCACATGAACTTCAAATGAATGATATATCTTTTACCTTTGCTCGTTCGTGACGTCTGTTTGTTTATGTTATTTGTTTATGTTATTTGTTTATGTATGTAAACTAGCACTGAACAAGTGTTATGCTAAAATAATGTCGTCTGTAAAAAACGAGAAACAACATTCATTAAAACAGAATATCATAAGTAATTTTTACCTCATGTGCTGTGTTTGGCCCATGGTACTCATTGCTATCGTGCGAATAAGTATGTTAGTTTGTTACTGCACGTTTGTTACCTTCCAGCCAATCAGCGACCAGTATTACTATGTGATGGCCTGTTTGCAGGCTAAAGCATTTTAAATCAATATGGCGGCTCTGATATATGCCAAATATATGGTTTAACCTCCTAACCAATCATATTTCGTGACTGCGTGACATGAAAATGTAACCAACCATTGTCAATAGAATTTGGTCACAATTCTAAGAAATAGCCGTGAATACGAAAAAGTACTTGCTACAATACATCACGGCTCAATATGGCGTCGCTATTTGGGAATAGGTCCATAAACTTAACCTACCACCACAGAATAAGGTACACAGAAGGCCGACTTCTTGGTTTTCCTATAATTTTGGCGTTGGTCCTAGCCATTGCGTGTTTGAGAGGCATTCACCCCCCTGATAATATTCAAAATGGCGGACGCCCAGGGGGGAATGCCTCTCAAACGCGCACTGGTCCTTATTCTGTGCTACCACTCCAGTTACAAATGGAGCTCAATGGTTCGACCATTACATATTTCACTACATAAAGTAGTACCATGTCAACACAGCTAAACCTCAGACCGTAGTTACCGCTGGCTCGCTTCCTTCCAAATCCGTCAAAATTCACTAATAAATATTTGTGTGAAATCATTTTCACTTTCCATGTAAATTTTTTAGACATTTGCATCGCTTCTCACCAGGTATGAGTTTAAATTTAATAGTTTTAGACATACCCTAGCTGTACGTACTAAAGTTTTGCTTGTGTGCATGCTATTTGTTTGTAAAATTGCGGTTTAATTTTGCACGTGCGTTGTGTGTGATTTATATATTTTCAATGTTTGCGGCCAGGTTTATTGGTCATATTATAGTACCCACCTAATTATTTAATGGCCACCACCCCCGCTTGTTATGGTTAGCTTAGAATTTTTTTGAAAGCCGTGCTTCGAGTACAAAAAACTAAAAGTTTCAATATTTTGTGGTCCTGTTTTTTGTCAGATACAAAATTAAAGGTTTTGGGCACTTTACCGTACCGGAGTATATAATAAATACTGTGTGTAATTGTAGTAAATGTGTGTTTTTCATGGCTTGTAATTCTGTATTTTACAACCCATTTTTGATAGCATATCTTTGCCGATTGGGTCGTTCCGGAAAACACTTGTACCTCCTCCGCAGAGGAAATTGGAAGTTAACCCCCCTACCCCCGTTGGGTGTCCTAATACACTTTCAATTATCAGAAACCAATTTTTCTTTCTTCACTCTGCTGATGACAGAAATTTCTTTCTAGACCGATGCTCATTATGGGGGTACGGCAAAGTGTAAAATTTCCCAAGGCTTCGTATGTGAATATTATGTGCCTTAGGCCAAATAAAGAAATTCCCGGTTTCTCATCAGTAATTTTTTTAAATGTAAATGAGGAGCACATTGTTTTTTTATTTTTTAAAATTTCATTTTCACATTTAATAG